ATTATAATGTGTATTAGTGTTTTCCTGCATTTAAGTGCATCAAGTGCAGTGAAATCAATGCCCAGAGGTCAGAAGAGGATGTCAGATCCTCTGGAACTGGAGTTACAGATGTTTATTAGCTGCCATGTGGGTGCTGGAACCGAACCCAGGTCCTCTGCAAGAGAAGCCAGTGCTCTTAACTGCTGAGCCATCTTTCCAGCCCCTTTTTCTGGTTGGTTTCTTTGTTTTGCTTGCATTACTGGGGTGTGAACACAGGACCTTGTACATGCTAGGTAAGTGCTCTACCACTGAGCCATGTCCCTGACCCAGAAAATAAGTTTTATACTATACTTATAGATACAGTTTAAAAGAACGCCCCACCTCTTAACTTACATTCACATGAATCTATGATTATACACATTTGGACTCAGTTTCACAAAGTACCTAGGATGGCATGAATACTCCAGAATTTTCTGTCTGCACTGTTACCATCCAACAGTTTTTATTTATGTAAGAAAAGCAGTTGCCTAAATCTAAGGGTTGTTACTGGGAGAGTGGAAAAATAGAGCAAGTCAGGAAAATGCTTCCTGAACGGCTGCTTCAAAGTAGCTCTTGAAACACACACAAAAAAAACCCCTTCACATTGTGAAGTGGACACTTAAGTTACTAGCTTTTTACCATAGGACAAGCAAAGCATTCTTCTCACAGCATCTCCCAGAGGAGGCATCCTGACCTCACTTCCTCACTGAGATAACCCCAAAAGACCCACCACTGGTGGTGAAGGTGGCACTCCAGCCTCCGCTGCTGGGTCCCCAGTGACCCTTTGTGCCACTATAGAAGGTCTGTGGCATGTGAGGTCAGCAGAGCCTCTAGGTCAGAAGGCAGTGTCCTGGAGTTTGAGTTTCTATTTCAAGCTTAACAAAAGCAGCTGCATTAACTATGTTTTTATATCTTTTTATTTTTAATTTTTCATTTTTATTTTGTCTGTGTGTGTGTATGAGTGTACTGCCTACATGTGTGTAAGTGTACCCATGTCACGCAATGCCTGCGGCGGAGAGAAAGGAGAACTGGAGCTACGGACAGCTGTTAGCTGCCATGTGGGTGCTGGGATTCGAACCTGGGTCTTCTGCAAGAGCAGCCAGTGTTCTTAACCTGAGCCATCTCTTCAGCCCCTATGTTTTTATTTTCATTCTGATCTCGTAATTACTTCAAACTTGCTCCACTTCCTTCCTGTTGTTCATGGTTGCTTTTGGGACAGTGTGTCTGTCCTATGTTGCCCAGGCTAGACCAGCTTCTGGGCTCACTCAAACGGTCCTCTACCTCAGCATCCTGAGTAGCTGGACTAGAAAGGCACACCACAGCACCCACCTCCTTATTCTCCTTATTTGACGACACTCAATGCATGCTGCTTTCTTGGACTGATTAATTCTATTTAAAAATTTATTTTTTTTGCTCTCTTTTTGAGACAGGATCTCCCTGTAGCCCCAGCTGGCTTGGAACTCACTATGTAGATGAGGCTGGCCTCAAACTCACAAAGATTCTCCTGCCTCTGCCTCCCAAGTGCTGGGATTAAAGGTATGCACCACCACACCTGGCCTTTAAAAATATTTTATCATTTTTAGGGGCTGGAGAGATGGCTCAGCGGTTGGGAGCACTGGTTGCTCCTGCAGAGGACCCGGGTTCAACTCCCAGCGCTCACATGGCGGCTACGAACCGTCCTTGACACCAGTTCCAGGGGAATCTGAAGCCCTCTTCTGACCTCCGTGGCACTGCACGACACGGGTGCACTCACATACATGCAGGCAATACACTCATACACATAAAATAAAAATAATAAAATATTTTTTAAAAATTTTATCATTTTTATTTTATGTGTGAGTGTACTGGCTGCCTGTATGTAAGTGCACCTATGTTGCACAATGCCTGTGGAAGTCAGAAGAGGGGGTTGGATCCCTTAGAACTGGAGTTACAGACAGTTGTTAGCTGCCATGTGGGTACAGGGAACCAAACCCATGTTCTCTGCAAGATCAACTAGGGCTCTTAACCACTGAGCCATTTCTCCAGCCCCCACCCCCGCTTTTTTTGAGACAGGGTCTTCCGGTAGCCCCTGTCGGCCTGGAACTCACTATGTAGATCAGGCTGGCCCCAATTTCACAGAGATCTGCCCACCTCTGCCTCCCAAGTACTGTGATTAAAGGTGTACACCATTATGCTTGGCCTGAATCATTCATTGATTCTTAGGACACAGACACACAGACACACACAGACACACACATTTTGAATAGACCTTTCAGGGTTAATGTACTCCCTGACACCCTCATTAGATGAAAACCAATCAGTAAGGCAGCAAAAGCCATTTCAGAGTATCAGTGTCCCCTTTAGCATTATGCACATGAAGAAACACAGGGGTAGAGGTATAAGGGTCTGCTGCCTTCATTGAAGACTGAGGGTTCTGGAACAACCAGACTTCCTTACCACAGAGCCGATGAAGGGACTTCTCGGAGTAGGTGTCTCGGTCACAGCCTTTCCCTATGTGGCTAGTCTCCAGCTCCACTGTGGCCTGCACTGAGGCCACCGGCTCATCACATGTCTCCAAGTGGATGTTTGGGAAAACGGCCAAAGCACCCGTGCCGGGCTCATACTCAATCCGATTGCTCCAGCCTGTGGTGGTGCACGGGTGGGTGTGGGAAGAAAAAGGAAAACTTAACTGTTTAGGTTTTTATGCTATTAAAGCTTTCAGAAGAGACATGAGAACTAGAGAGACTGCAGCTCACCTTGCCACCCCGGGGTGCAGGTGGGCTTAATGCTGATCTTCACCAGAACATCTTCTGTGGCTCTTTTCTTCCCACAATCATAGGCGGTGACCGTGAGCTTATACTGATGCTCTTTCCCGTAGTTTAACTTCTCTGTGTTCTTTATATAACCTGGAAAGAGGGAACAGTGAGAACCGTCTTCATGTCTGTTGTGCTCGACTGCAACTCCAAACCCATGTGTGTTATTGATCTGGAAATTAACTCAAACATGAGATGGCAACACTCCCCGTCCTGTCCGAGCACACACCAAATCCATGCCTAAGAGTTCAAGGACATGTGAGATCCACACGATGAGTGCTCCATGGACTTCTGCAGTTTCTACATTGGGCTTAATTTTTTTTTTACATTTAAAACAACAACAACAAAAAAAACCCAACGCTTTACTATTTTTTTATTTTTTTATGTGTATGAGTGTATTGCTAGCATGTAAGTGCAACCATGTCATGCACTGCCCGTGGAGGTCAGAAGGTGTCAGATTCCCCTAGAACTGGAGTTATGGACAGCTATTAGCTGCCATGTGGGTGATGGGAATCGAAACTGGGTCCTCTGCAAGAGCAGCTAGCACTTGTAACCACTGAGACATCTCTCCAGCCCCTCTCCCCCCATGTTTTTTTTATTTTTATTTTTTCTATACAGGGTCTCCTTGTAGCCCCAGCGGGCCTGTAACATGCTATGTAGACCAGAATGGCCTCCAACTCACAGAGATCCGCCTGCCTCTGTCTCTCGAGTGCTGGGATTAAAGGCAGGCGCCACCACGCCCAGCACCTCCCCCTTTTTTTAATGTGTGCTTGTGTTCTTTTATATTAATGTTTTATTTTATTATTTTTATTTTATGTGTATGTGTGTATTGCCTGCATGTAGGTAAGTGCACCTGTGTCGTGCAATATGGATAGTTGTTAGCTGCCACGTGGATGCTGGGATTTGAACCCTGGTCTTCTGCAAGAACAGCCAGTGTTCTTAACCACTGAGCCACCTCTCCAGCCCCTCCCCCCATTTTACATTTTTATTTACTTATTTTGCGTGATGTGTGTGTATGGGTGTAGAGGTTAGAGGACAACCTGTGGGAATTGGTTTTCTCCCTCCATCAAATGGGTCCTGGGTTAAACTCAGCTCATATGCCTTGGCTTTACCCACTGAGCCAACTCACTGTTATATATATATATTTTAAATTTTATCATTTTATGTGTATGCATGTATTGCCTGCATGTAGATCAGTGCACACATGTCATGCAATGCCCACAGAGGTCTGAAGAGGCTGTCAGATCCCCTGGAACTGGAGTTACAGACAGTTGTTAGCTGCCATGTGGGTGCTGGGAATCAAACCCAGGTCCTCTACAAGAGCAGTCAGTATTCTTGACCGCTGAGCCATCTCTCCAACCCCACTGTTGTATTTTTTTTTTAATTATTATTATTATCATTATTATTGGGGGGTACATCTGCCTCACACTGCACATGTGGAAGTCAGAAGGTACCTTTCAGGAGTTAGTTCTCTCCTATCATGGGTTACTTCTAGAGATTAAACTCAGATCATCAGGTTTGTACAGCCACGGCTTTTAACTACTGAGCCATCTTGCTGACCTTAGTTTTATATTAATTTTGATATTTAATATTTTGTATGTAAGAATAAAAAATACAAAATAGCCAGGGGTGGTGGTACACACCTTTAATCCTAGCACTTGGGAGGCAGAGGCAGGCAGATCTCTGTGAGTTCAAGGCCAGCCTGGTCTACACAGTGAGTTCCAGGACAGCTGGGACTACAGGGAGACCCTGACTCAAAAAAAACCAAAATAGTTCAAACACCTTGAATATTAAATGTTAAGACTAAGCTTCATTAAATACTTCTGCTAAAGATTTACTTCGTTAAAGCTGAGGGCTGGGGATGTAGCTCAGATGTAGACTGCTTGCCTAGCATATATGAAGTCCTAGGTTTGATCTCTGGAACCACATAAGCCAAGTAAGATTAGACCTGTGGTCCCAGCCCTCCAAAGGTAAAGGCCAAAGGATCAGAAGTTCAAGACCATCCTGGGCTACAGAGTGAGCTCAAGGACAGTCAGGAGATTTCCCTCCTACCCCCCAAAAAGGGAAAAAAAAAGTTGACATTGGGCTGGGGGTGTGGCTCAATGGAGCACATGCTTAGGATGTGTGAGGTGTGACCAAAGGTTCAATTCCCAGCACCAAAAGTAAGGATAAAAGATGGGGGGGGGGGGGAATGTCCGGCTTCCCCTTGCTTAGAAAAGGGCATGCTTTTTAAAGATTTATTTATTTTTATTTTATGTGTATAAGAGTTTTGCCAACATGTATGTGCACTGTGTGCAGTGCCTGGTGACCAGGGAGGCCAGAAGACAGTGCCAGATTCCCTAGAACTGGAGTTATGAATGGTTGTGAACTTCCACATGGGTGCTGGGACCTGGGTCCTCCGCAAGAGCAGAAAGTGCTCTTAACCACTGAGCTATCACTCCAGCCCCTGAAAAGAGGCATGATTTTTTAGTGCATAAACAGATGTCAATAAAATCTCTCAGATCTATAATTTTATTAAACTCTGCATTAATTTTTTGAGAGGGTCTTTTTGAGATAGGGTCTTCCTATAGCCCCAGCTGGCCTAGAACTTACTATGTAGACTAGGCTGGCCTCAAACTCACAGAGATCGCCTGCCTCTGTCTCCCAAGTGGTGGGATTAAAGGCGTGTGCCACCACACCTGGCTGATTTATAATAGATACCATATTTTTTTAAATTTTTTTTTATTATTTTTATGTGTATGAGTGCATTGCTTGCATGTTTGTGAGTACACCGTGTTGTGCAATGCCATGGAGGTCAGAAGAGGGCTTCAGATTCCCCTGGAACTGGAGTTAAGGACAGTTTGTAGCCGCCATGTGGGTGCTGGGAATCGAACCCGGGTCCTCTGCAAGAGCAGTTAGTGCTCTTAACTGCTGAGCCATCTCTCCAGCCCCTAGATACCATATTTTTATAAAGAGGCTATTGCCTGGCTGGGTATGAGGGCACAAGTCCTTAATCCCAGCACTCTGGAGGCAGAGGCAAGTGCATCTCTATGGGTTTGAGGCCAGCCTGGTCTACATAATGAGTTCTAGGCCAGCTAAGGCTACACAGTGAGCCTTATCTCAAAAAAGAAAACAGAAAAAGAACAAAAAGAAAAAGAGAGGCTATTAGCTTATTTAAAAAGTTGAGCTCCAGAGAGTTACTTCTGTTTAATTACTAAGGACTGATGTAAACCCTCATCTTAGCTAGGTGTTGTGAAATACACCTATAATTTCAACAATCAGGAGGCAGAGGCAGCCTAGGGCTACATAGGAAGACTGTCTCAAAAAGAAATGAATTCAGTCGGGTGTGGTGGCACACACTTTTAATCCTAGCACTCAGGAGGCAGAGGCAGGTGGTCTCAGGGAGTTCATGGCCAGCCTGGTCTACATAGCGATCATAGTGATTTCCAGGACAGACAGCTAAAAAGACCAAAAAAAAAAAAAAAAGAAGAAATGAATTAAAAAATAAAAAATAATAAACCCTCACTTTCAAGATGAGGCAGAAAGCCTAGGGGTGTGGGGAGCATTTGCCTAGCATATATAGAGCCCTGGATTCCCAGCACCACACACATACATACACACACACAGAGGCAAAAGGTTCTAATCAAATGAAGAAAAACAAGACTAAAGGCTGCATGTGGATGAAATGTGAGAAGACAAAAGTAAACACAAGCGCTGAGCATGGTGGCGCATGCCTTTAGTCCCACCACTTGGGAGCCAGAGGCAGGCGGATCTCTGTGAGTTAGAGGCTAGCCTGGTCTACATAGTGAGCTCCAGGCCAGCAGGGGCTACAGGGAGACCCTGTCTCAAAAGACAAAAAAATAAAATAAAATAAACATGCATTGAGGGAAGGCATTTATTTGACATGGGTAGGAAAGGAGAAAGAGGAGTGGAGCTCAAGAGATCCCAGACCAGCGTGAAAACTCAGGTGTGACCCACAGGCACAGAGGCAGCCAGCCTGCAGGTGCCACTGATCTCTGACAAGATTGCCAACCCCAGGCTCCAGCCAACCAGGTTAAAAGAGTCAGGCTGCAGGAGGCGGTCCTCCCTCACCAGCGGAGAAGGTCCTGGGTTCTTACCGTCTTTGTCCACCGTGAATGGCACATCTGGGGTGAGGATTTCATAGCTGCAGATCTGGCTGAACTGGGGGGAGCAGTCTGCGTCCACAGCCTCCACCCTGAGGATGCTGCTGTGCTGTTTGCCCTCCACCACCGCCGCCTTGTAAGACTTCTCCTTGAACACGGGCGCATACTCGTTCACGTCGTTCACCTGGATGTGGACGGTCGCTCTGCACGAGACGGGAGAAAAGGCTGTGGTGGAGGTCTGGTCTTTTACTCCAAAGAGACAACTCTGCCTACTGCTGGATGTTCTTTTTCTGATACCTTGTTTCACGAAATTCATATGATGAAAACCACATTTCATTCTTTTTTAATTTGGCACAGGAACAGTGAAAAGTTAAAATAGGGACTTTGGTTGATTTTTCTGTACCCTCAGATAGCTGATTTAGAAAATCAGTAATATAAATATAAGAGGCTTGGGATCTTCTTTGAAAATGGTGTGCAGAACTTAAAGATGGGAGATGAATTATACCAAATAAGTGCTTCCTCTCTAGATAAAGTTAAAACTTATGTTAACTGTTCATTAAAAAAATACATCTGGGGCTGGAGAGACGGCTCAGCAGTTAAGAGCACCGGCTACTCTTGACTGGGTTTGGTTCCCAGTACCCACACAGCAGCTGACAACTATCCTAATTCCAGTTCCAGGGGATTCAAGACCCTCTTCTGTCCTCCACGGGCAATGCATGACATGGGTGCACTTACATACATGTAGGCAATACACTCGTACACATAAAGTAAAACTAAAAAAAGAAAAATAGATAACACAAGAAAGTTTGATTGAAGTTAAATTGTGGGGACTAGACAGATGGCTCAGTAGATAAAGCATTTGCCATGCCAGTGTGAAGACTGGAGTTCTGAGTCAAGGACACAGGTGGTCCACCTGCAATTCTAGTGCTCAATAGGATAAAACAGGAAATCCGGGGCAAGCTGGCTAGCTAGAGCTCTAGGTTCAGTGAGACCCTGACTCAGTAAATAAAGTGGGAAGCTATACAATGATGGAGTGTAACAGAGAAAGCCCTACCTGCTACTTCCAGTCCACAGCTGGGTGCCATCAGACCAGCCTCCAAACAACGACACTCATGGGTTTCTAGGGCTACTGTTCAGGGTACATTTCTTTCTTTCCTTTTTGTTTTTTTTTTTTAAATATTTTATTGTTTTTATTTTATGTGTATGAGTGTATGCCTGCATGTAGGTAAGTGTTCCCATGTCCTGCAATGCCTGAGGAAGATAGAAGAGGCAGATCCCCTGGAACTGGAGTTATAGATAGTTGTTAGCTGCCATGTGGGTGCTGGGAATCGAACCCGGGTCTTCTGTAAGAACAAGTCAGTGTTCTTAACTGCAGAGCCATCTCTCCAGCCCCTCTTTCTTTCTTTATAAAAGATATTTTTATTTTATGTGTATGAGTGTATTGCCTGCAGGTATGCAAATGCACCCATGTCGTGCAATGCCCTCGGAGGTCACAAGAGAGCACTGGATTCCCCTGGAACTGGGAACAGCTGTTAGCTGCCATGTGGGTGCTGGGAATCGAACCTAGACCTTTGCAAAAGTAGACAGTGCTCTTAATCGCTGAGCCAACTCTCTCTAGCCCTATTTTTTTTTAAAAAATAGAATTTCCTGAGCCTGGGATTAAAGGCATAAACCATCAGACCCCAACATGGTTTTTGTCTTTAGACAAAGTCTCCCTGTAGCCCCAGCTGGCCTGGAATTCACTATGTAGACCAGGCTAGTGCTGGGATTAAAGGCATGTGCCACCATGCCTGGCTTTATGAGTGTTTTGTCTATATGTATGTAAGTGCACCTCTTTTGTGCCTGGTACCTGCAGAGGCTAGAAGAGGGTATTGGATCCCCTGGACCTGGAGTTAAGGACAGATGTTAACTGCTATATGGGTGCTGGGAATTGAATCTGGGTCCTCTGGAGAGCCAGCTCTCCAGTCCCACAGCCATGTTTCTTAATTAAAAAAGATCTTTGGCCAAAATAAAAATCTTTGGGGGGATGGGAGTATAGTTCGGTATAAAGTGTTTGTCTAGCATGTACAAGGTTCAGGTTCCACCCTATCACCGACCAACCAAACAACCAACCAACCAAAAAGCCTTTTCAGATGAAAAAGTGATGTCACACTGTATAAAACGATGAGGAATTATTCAGTGGTACACCACACCTCCCTGCTCGCCGAGTCTTCCAACCCATGGCCATCCATTTGGTGTCCCCATCACAACAGGCATGAGACAGCACATCGCCCAGACACCCATCTTTCCTTATCAAATACTCAGAGGAACCGAGATTCAGTAATGGTAAATCTGCCTGATATTAAAGGGTTAGTAAGTGGCAGAGAAAGTATAGAATTCTAAATCTGCGTCTAGTCCAGAGCCCTCTCTGTCAGAGGGAAGTTCACAGCTGTAAGTGGTATATAGACTAGAGGCAGGATCCCAAAGACCTGTCTATTTGCTTCCTCCACTGCACTGCGGGTTAGCCTATGCTACAGGGAGAGATAAATATGACAAAATAGTCTTCCTCAGGAAAAAGTTCAATGTAGGGCCTTAAAGTCTCAGTTGTGTCATCATCGTGTCTGTGTGTCCCCCCACCCCCCTAGGCTGTCTTGAACTTGTAATCCTCTTCCTACCGTCTTCTAAGAGTCTCAGTAACAGGCATGTGCCACTGTTCCCAGTGGGAATAGTTTATCATCTTTGGTGATAAGGGTGACAGTTTCTTTTATCAAGAGTACTTGATGGGATAAAATCATCCATGCCTGGTCCATATAGTGAGTTCCAGGTCAGCCAGGGTAACATAACGAGACCCTGACTCAAAGGAAAAAAAATGTATCATCAGGGTTGGAGAGCTGGTTCAGTGGTTAAGAGCACTGGCTACTCTTCCAGAGGACCTGGGGTTGGTTCCCCGCACCCACCTGGCAGCTAGCAACCAGTTTCAGGGGCTCTGACATCCTCTTCTGGCCACCTCCATAAGGCACTACACAATGGATGCGCTTATATACATGCAGACAAAATACTTACACACATAAAATAAAAATAAATCAGAAAAAAATACATTGTATGAAATTCTCAAAGAATCAACCAAAATATTTTTAAAACATACCATCCATCCATTTCCAAAACATGTTATATATCAGGCTAAGTTGTATACAGAAGTGAACACACAGGCTCGAGTCCAGCCCTCAAAGATCATACAATCCATCTGTGGACCCTTAAGAGCTCTTCTGCCTCAGTTGTAAAACATGGAGAATCAGGGGGACAGAGCAGTCACTGTTATTCCCCTCACACAAACTCAAATACATGCCAGGTTCCTTTTGCTCTGTGCCCAGCTCACTTACTTGTGAGATTTTTTCACGCCAGTGCCGTCGGGTCCCTTCCCGCAGTCGTAGGCCTGGATGGTGAACGTGTAATCTTTCTGCAGTTCGCAGTCCAGTTTCTCTTTGGAGCGGATAATTCCCTCACCCGTGGATTTATCCACTACCACTGCGTCAAAGGGGACATTCTGCCCATGAATTTTAAAGCCACAAATCTCACCTGAGGAGTCAAAGCAGAACAGGTTAGAGTGTCTGCCATGTGAACCTTCCGTATATTTCCCTCCACCCCCAAAGGACATACACAACAGCAATCTGGCAGCCAGGGGGTTTGGAGGGTCCGTGGACAAAGCGGGGGCACTGTGCTTTGACATGGGTGAGTTCTGGGGCTTTAGTAAAAAGAAGCAGATCCAAGCAACTTGTTTACTTTGCATCCATTCATGCAGGTGTGAAGAGAGAGGGGGAGAGGGGGAGAGGGGGGGGGGGGAGAGAGAGAGAGAGAGAGAGAGAGAGAGAGAGAGAGAGAGAGAGAATTAAGATTGAGATGACACAGACAGGCATTCCACAGGAGCACTTAGAATGGTGGGGGTAAAAGGAGTCTCATTAGCAACAGCCAAGGCCTGAACACACCAGGCTGCCCAGGCCATCAGAGAGCTGGGCAGCTCTTTGGGTTTGGACCAGAGAGAGGGTAAAAATGCACAGTTAAGTGTTGAGAAAGGAAGGAAGCGTGAGATATAGGACCAGCTCCGTAATTACAGAAATTCTGTCAAGAAAAACAAAACATAAAGAATCAAGTCTTCCTGTGCAATGAGCCTGGCTAAAATTAGGGAATCAAAACAGACTGCTAAAGGAGAGGTAGAAATACCAACTTTTCAGGCATCCATTCCAACAGCTGTGTATAGCATCTGGGACAGGCAGGATGCTGGGCTTAAGTTCTGCACTTTACCAAACCTAAGAGGCGTACCCGCCTGGGAACTTCACTACAGCTAGACTGGCAGAGAAGCTTATTTAGGACTAAAAACCTGTCTCCATTCTTGGCCATGGAAGAACAAGCATAGTTTGACGTACATCTGAAACTTCACGAAACTTATTTCCCATAAAAATAAAGACTCTGCTCTTCCACAATTCAAACAAAATGTTACACAGCAAATCTCTGAAGTTCAATTAAACAAAAATACGTGGTTCTGCCCCTGTTGTTTAAATGGATGTCTGATTTCCAGATATTTCTAACCGAGGGTCTTGGTTACATACAATTTCCATCGATACACTTTAAAAAAAAAATAGAAACAAACTAAGAATAAACAGGGCAAAAGAGCATGACAGTTGCTTCTGTTTAAGGACTGATTCCCAATTTTATAAACAAAGTTAGTGGGTTAATATTCATAAAGGGGAGACAAAGAACCCTTGATCACCTTCTTTGGTGACTGTCACCTCAAAACTCTCTAAAGGGAGAAAAGATAAACCCATGTCAGTAATTCAGGAAGAGTGAAGACAGGACAAGGAAATGTTCAAAGATGCACATTGTGTAGAAAAGCTTAGCACGGATTTAACAGCACGTTCCGTAGCCAGAACTAGCTAATTCTAGCAAGAACTGCTACAGTGGAACCTGGTCTCAGTTCTAAGATGTCACTCTGAACCCGACTTACCATAAGCTATTACATAACTTTGAAACTGAATGCACACTGGGATGAAATACTGGTGGAATGATGTAAGGTTTCCTGATAATTCTAGGTGTCAATAGGACTTTTCCTTTGACAATTAGTAAGTAGATCTATGTGTTGTTTATTTATTTTTGCCTTTTTAAAAATTTTATGTGTATGAGTGTTATGCCTGCATGTATGCTAGTGCACCTGTGTCATGCAGTGCCCACAGAGTACAGAAGAGGGCATCAGATCCCCTGGAACTGGAGTAATGGACCAGTTGTTAGCTACTATATGGGTGCTGGGATTTGAACCCAGGTCTTCTGCAAGAGCAGCCAGTGCCCTTAACCACTGAGCCATCTCTCTAGCCTCATGTGTTCTTATTCTTTGTAATTTTTTAATTAATTAATTTTGGGGTTTTTTTTTAGATAAGTTTTCCTTGTAGCCCCAGCTGGCCTGGAACTTGCTACATAGACCAGGCTAGCTTTGATCTCACAGAGAACCGCCTGCCTCAGCCTTGGCCTCCAAAGTGCTGAGACCAAAGGCTTGCGCCGACTCGCCTGGATGTTTTTATTTTTAAACTAAGTTCTCTACACCAGATTCTAGAAGCATTTGCCTCATCATTAGATTTACTAAAACAAAAATCTGGAGCAAAAGGATTTAGCCCTTTGTTACCATTTTTGACACTGTTGTCTAAAGCATATAACCAGGGTATCCAATAGAAATTCCTTTCCAAAGTCCTGTGTGGTGGTGCATGCCTTTAATCCCAACACTCAGGAAGCAGAGGCAGGCAGATCTCTGTGAGATTAAGGCCAGCCTGGTCTACATAGGGAGTTCCAGGCCAGCTGTGGCTATAGGGAGATTCTGGCTCACCACCACCACCACCACTACAACCCCCCCACCCCCCACCACAAAAAAAAATTCCACTTCAGGGAACAGAAACCAAATCAAAGCCATCCACAGAGATGCTACAGTGACCACTGTGTCCACTCAATGTACAAAACACTGTTCCACTTAGCATAAACCCAGCTGGTCACACCCCCTGCCTTCCAGAGAGGAGATTCTACCTCTTCTCCTGGGAAGGCAGCACTAGCTGAATTCCCTTCCTTTTTAGGTGGTTTTATCTTGTAGTTCCCCCTGGACAATGCTGTTTCATTGTGTGTCTTTAAGGCTTTAAATGCAGTGTAACAAGAAGTGGATTTCTGTGACTTGAATTTCACAGCCTCCCATATCTAAAACTCACGTGTCCTCGCCAATGTATGAGGCTATGGCTTATTCATTTCCATGGGAACAATCTAATGTGCTAAAACGAGTAAAATGCTTAAAACATTTGTTAGGCATAAAGGAAGCACAAACATTTGCTGTTACTAAAACCATTTCCTACTCTGTAGATATGCCACAATCCCAGGCTTTTCGCTGCCTAATAACAATTCTGGTAAATTAGTTTTGCCCATGCCTCCTGCAGCAAAAGACTTACGCAGATCAGTGCGGCCCAACATGGTAGACACTGCCCACAGCGGCTCATTCAAATTTAAACTAAAATTCACATTAAAATGAAATAACATTAAACATCCAGTTCCAAAATCACACAGGCCACAGTCTGAGTGCTAGACAGTCTCACGAGTCTGACAACACCGTGTGGAGTGTGGACCCAGAGCATTCCCATTGCCACGGGAGGGTCTACTGGACAGCTGCTGTGTTCCCAGGCTCTGCAGACCATGGGGTCGGGGCCAGATTTGGCCTATTCTGTTTTTGAAAGTCCCATGAGCTAGGAGAATTTTTCTTTTTAACCTTTTTTGAAGGTGCTTCATCAAGTTGAGACAGGATCTCGCTCTAAGCACGAGGCTAATCTGGAACCCACTCCATAGCCAGATCAGCCTCTGACTCAAGATCCTTCTGCCTCAGGCTTCTGAGTGCCAGGATTACAAATCTTTTAAACACTATTTCATAGCAAGAGAAAATTATATTAAAATTCAGTGTCTTCATTTTGCTAGATGAAAAACACACATTTGCTTAAGTCTCTGGCTACCTTCCCACTATGATGGGCAAGCTCACTGCAACATTCAAAAGAGACCCTGTAGACCGCAGAGCTGAAAACAAGCTCCTCTGAAAGTCTGTGGATCTCCACTAGGCACAGCAGTGAGCAAAAGTCCTGAGTGCACAGAGATGTCAAACTGTTTTCTAGGATGTGCTAATAAACTATATCATGAATATACTTTCTGAGTGCATATTATCATAAAATACATTTTAAAATAATTTCAATTACCCAGTTTTAATTCAAGGTAAACCTCTCAGTTTCTAACTTGGTGTTCACTTTTCTGCAGAGCACAGGGCAAGGCATTGTCAGGTACTAGAAACTAGCCATATCCCTGACAGGAGGATGATAGGAAAAGAGTCACTGGTAAGTAACAAAGACGGCAAACTTCTGGCTTCTCTACCGGAGGCTGTGGGCTCCTTTTCCAGCCAGCAGCGCCCCTTTCTGGATGACCAGTCTAGACTAATTAATTCCAAGGCCAGACCTGGACCTAACCTCACTTAGAGCTGTGAACTATCAGCCCTCTCCTTTTACATTGACCAATCCAAAATTAGAGGAGAGAGACCCACCCTATACAAGCAAGAAAGCTTAAAAGACCCAGACCCTTCTGGGGGCTTTGGATTTGGGCTTCCAAATCCTTCTTCACTTGTGGAGAGGGAGGGCTGGAGGAAGGGATGGAGGAAGGGAAAGAGGGAGGGAGAGAGAGAGAGTGCTTTACTTTTTAAATTTTATTTTAAAATATTTTATTTATTGTATGTGTATGTGTGTATTGCCTGCATGTATGTAAGTACACTCCTGTAGTGCAATGCCCAGGAAGGTCAGAAGAGGTCATTGGATCCTCTGGAACATGAGTTATGGACAGTTGTTAGCTGCCATGTGGGTGCTGGGATTCAAACCCCGGTCTTCTGCAAGAGCAGCCAATGCTCTTAACCATTAGGCCATCTCTCCGGTCCTTAATGTTTATTTTTATTTTATGTGTACAAGTGTTATGTCTCCATGTACGTAAGTGCATCCATGTCATGCAATGCCCATGGAGATCACAAGAAGGTGTCGGATCCCCTGGGAATGAAGCTAGACGTTGTTAGCTGCCATGTGGGTGTGGAATTTGAACCCTGGTCTTCTGCAAAAGCAGCCAGTGCTCTTAACCTGAGCCATCTCTCCAGTCCCACTTCTTTGCTTTTTAAGTAAGGTTGTTGCCTGCTACATCTGAGATTCTTCCTGCCATTTTAATTCTTTAATTGGTGGAGAAAACAAACCCCATCAAGATCCCTACACACACTAGTGGCCATGCTGTGCTCTCTTGGCAAGGCCGTTAGATCTGTGGGGTAAACCTCTATGATGAAGAATCCGAGTCTTCCTACTCACACCGTACATTCAAATAAGGGGTTAAACATATTTGATATTCAGACAATGGAATGTCTTTTCTTCTGTTGATATTTGAGATGGGGCCCCACTATGTTGCCTAGACTGGTCTTGAACATCTGAGCTCAAGCAATCCTCTTGCCTCAGCCTCCCCAGCGGCTATCATTACTGACACGGGACACCATATCTTGCAATTCAAAGCATCTTTAAGACCAACTTGAGACCATGAGGTCACCAGGAGGCACGGAACTGTCTGCCAACTATTGCAAACTCTCAGTGTCTTTCTTTTCAGAAATCAGCGTGGGATAAGAGTAGGGGCTCTGGCATGTGGGATGGAGCCCCTGTGTTTCAACTTCAGACTGTGTTCAGGGAAGGAAGACTTCATTGATGAGCGAATGCTCAGGAGAGTTTGAATTAAGCAATGTGATTGTCCGGGGAAGGATTTCTGACAGGCAAACACCAAGCACAAAGGCCTCGGGCAAAGGCCTCAGGACAAGCTGCAGGAGAGGCTGAGCTAAAGCAGGAATGAACAGAAGAGGTTCCACAAAACAAGCCCCCCGGCCCCACTGTGTCGGCTTCTCCCCCTCCCCCGCCCCTCAGTACTGTGTCAGCTTCTCTGACTCTTAGAAGAATTACGGCTTTTCCAGCATGTGAGAAGAAATGAGCAGCGGGATGAACGGGACTTGAATTCTCAAAAGATCCTTTGGCTGCGGCACTGAAATAAGTCTGTCCGAGGCAAAGATGGCCACTTGGGGCATCCCAGCAAGAGATGCTGAAGGCCAGACCCAGCTGGCAAGAACTGGTCAGGTTCAGGTTCGGGAAGTATTGTAGATGAGACCAGGCACATTCAGGGTGCTATGGCCCTAGACTTGGAAGGTATTTTATTATTATTGTTGTTGTTGTTTGTTTATTTTGAGACAGCTTCTCACTATGTAGCTCTGGCTGGCCTGGAACTCACTATGTACACCAGGCTGGGCTTGAACTCAGAGATCACCTGCCTATGCCTTGGGAGATAATTTTAAAAGCAAGGTTATTGTTGGATTTTAAATGAGAAACTAAACATGAAATTGCCTTTTACTGACCTCAGAGAGCCTGGGGAAAGAAAGTTCATCGGGAAGACTGGACATTAGCACTTAAGTTTTGAGCGTGTGTATATACTACACTGTGCTTGGGGGGGTGGTGCGTGTGTAAGAGTGTCTCAAAGGCTAAGTATCAAATATAAGAATATAAACTACTTAGAAACCCATTATATATTTCCAGGCTGTTCTCCAAAGACTGGCTGAACCATTTATAATGAAAACAGCAAAAATGTGTAACTGTGTCTTTCCCACAGACCCCCATTGACTCTGAGCACTGCAGCTGGATGCTTTAATGGGTTCCATCAACAGGATTCAGTGCCTCAAAT